ATAGAAAAATAAATAAAATAATATAAATTTAACATATGTTATGAATTTTATTTTATTTCTTGATTATTTAAGTCCCATGATATTAGAATTTTAGCATGTTATTTAAATGTACTATTACATGTAACTTGAATAGGTATAATATGGTAAATAAGTTTCAACATATAACTTAAAAATAATTTTTACTTCAGAAAATGATCGAAAATACATTAAATAGTTGATAATTAAAAAAAATACTCTCATAGCTCATTTTATACTTGAATACAAAACATATTTTTTTATAAAAATATTTAATAGTAATTGTGAAAGGATACCTATATAGTTATATTAACTTATCCGCAATAGAAAATAATTTTCACGTGATAATATATATTTATTAAATGTTTAATTAGTATAAAATAATATTGGTTAAAAATAGAAAACATTAACTAATATTTAGTAGTTAAATCATAACTGTGTAAATACTTTTAAAATATAATCATATAATCATATTAATTAATATAGATAGTTCTTTATGTTTGGTGTCAAAAAATGTAACACAGTTTTTTAACTTTCTAAACATAATTTATTTCTTTGGGGATATTAATTTATGTAAGAAGACAATAATAGGTAGGTTAACTCGTGTTTTATTTTTAACAGTACTTACGTAAATACATACGTTATGTTAATATTATTATTCGCTTTATTGAAAATATTATAGTTAAGTATTCAACGTTGAAAATATTCAATTCATACCTATTATTTTGACTCATACTTATTTATGAAAGTGTTTATGTATTTAATATATTTATCATAAGATATTGTGACCATACATGCAGTATTATTACTTAATATTTGAAAACTATACCATTTTTTTGTTATTCGTAGTTAATTCATTTACTGAATCTTCATCTGTGATTTAAATCATGGTAATGAATATTCATAATAGATCTATGAATTTTAGTGTTTTTTTTTTCGGTATCTAGCCTGCATTGAAATTTTTCGGTATTTGATAAAATTTAGTTTTATCCCAGTTTATCATATGAATTTATCTGTTTTAGAATAATTTCAACCCTCTGATTAAGTATTCGTATTATACTCAGAAGCTGACTGGGTATCGAGAAGTATAGGGGGGGGAGGTAAAAGTAACTGGAAATATTGTTATAATATTTCAACTAATAAATATTTTTAGTTAATAAATAATAAATAATAATATATTATAAATTGTATATATATTATATTATAATATATAATACATAATAATATTATTAATAAATAATATTATTAGTGTTTAATTGACCTTTAAAACCCATAATAACATTATTATATTTTCAGATATTCTAATAGTAATTGAATGGTATTTTACTATTATATTTTATCACTACATTTTTATGCGAGTATATATAATTTTTATTAATATGACACTCTCGAAGGCCTGGGAGGTGCTTTGCCTTCCTGAACAGTCCATCCCTGGATATGCTGTAGTAATTTAAACTTAAATGAGTCACTAGTTTCCAAAATATTCACATTGAGGAGGTAAGATTAAAATTATATAATAATGCGTACTTATGAAATTTTAATTTGTTCGATAATTTCATTACAGTGTTAACAAAGTTGATTTTGTTATACATATTGTATTTGTGGAGCTGTAGTTATCTTGTAGTTATCTTAGTTAGTTATGTTTTTTCACCAAATGTCATATGAAATAAATAAAAGTTATTTTACCTGCGTGTTAACTATTTTAAGGTCTAAATAATTCACCATATGGTAAAAATTATAATTTAATACAATTTAACGATTGAAACTCATATTATTTTTACCACCAATAATTGCCAAGTGGCCTTATAAAAATTATATTAGTGTTTAACTTTTGTTTATATTTTTTTTATGTCAAGGATATATCTTTTGTATGATATTATATTTTTTTAATGTATCGATAATTGTTCTATACATGTGTTAAATATAATTAAATACTAATTAACTTTTCATACAAATAAATTAATGGATTACTAATTACTGTACATCATAATGAGGTAGACAAATCAATCGGCTTATGTAATTTAATATTTTAAAGTAAATTTTGATTAAAATAAATATAAGGTCATTTCATGTATCTGATTGACAGTCAACAATGGTTGATTATTAAAATAAAATAATTAATTTTTTTTTTTATATATCGTTCAAATTAGAATACTCTAATTGTAAGAATTTGCATAAATAGTAAAATAACTACTGATATAATATTTTAGAGATTTTTTTAATTGTTATAAAACGTATAGTAAATTCAAAACTTATTTATGTTTTATTGTTCTAGTGTTAGAACAATATTTATTTTCATTGATATGTAATAGGTTTTTATTAGTTTAACGCATCAAGTTTGTATAGCACGGCGTACCGAGTATGCAATTTTAATGTTAGGTCGTTGTTAGTCCTTATTTCTTACAGTATTACGTATAATTTTGTGGACTGAATAATCTTGAAATACACGCAATAAAATAGTAATAAACATCAATTCGAAATTTATTTATTAATTTTTGAGGTTTATAATTTATTTATCATGTCACAAATTATATAAGAATACATATATATTTTTTTTGATTTATACAATAAGATTTTTTTAGCTTACTTTATATACATCTAGTGATGAAAATAGTAAGTACATGTTTATTTTTGCTAAGTGCGATAAACGAAATTATTATAATAATTATAATTATAATCTAATTATTACGGAGTAGCGACAATGTTATTTCGGTGGCTTAACACTAAGTGTTTGTTTAAACAAGTAAGTGGTGAGGACGTCCACGTCGAAGACGGCGTTGGATCGGTGGTCCTATGTTGAGATGATAGTGCATAGATCCTATTGACTTCTGAATAGACAAGAAGAAGCCATTGGTCAGATTTTTTAATGTGATCTTGAGGATATGGAATATTGAAGTCTTTGTGAATATTTCGGTTCCTTACGAACCATGGAGAATTTGTTATTGTTCTTAAGGTCTTATTTTGAAATATTTGAAGTTTTTTTAATTGAGTAAATGCACATTTTCCCCAAATTAGGCGAACAAAAGAAAGCAAAGTGCGCAGACTTTTCTTATAAATAAGTAAGGAGAATTTTTTTTCTCTAAAACTGATTTTCTGTTTAAAATAGGACACAGGATTGCTTGGATTTGATAGGCTTGTTGAAGTTTATATGATAAATAGGACCACCAGGTTAGTCGTTTGTCCCGTGTTATAACAAGATACTGGACGGTCGATTTTCAAGGGATAGATACGCTATTGAAGTTGAGGATGATGAACAACGTGTAAGAAAAAATAGTAATTAAATTTATTAATTTGGAAAACATAGTGATTATGTTATACACCCTCTTTGTCGTATTGATAAAAATGATGAGACTAATTTTATAGCGCGCGTAGTATAAAATTAACGGTTACAGAAATTAAAAACCCATTTCGTCGAAGAATATCTAAAACTAAATCGTATAGTTTGCCAAGAAATATAGAATTCTTGAATTCTTTAAGCGTTTAATGTTTCGAATTAATTTTATTACATTCCGAAGTATTACAGTTTAAATGTACGACAGCACTAATAATAATACATTTTACGAATACGAAAAAATTACGAGTGATGTACAGACACCAGATACGTATACGAATCTATATTTACTTCACCCTGAACCGTTCATTGGTGATAGTAGGTGCCGGAACCATGTCTCGGTCATTTTTATTAGACGCCCGTTAATAGATTGTATGTTGTTAAGTTTTATAAATTAATTATACAAACGTAACAGAAAAATGTTAACCATTTATCTCAATATCTCTATTTCATGATTTGTTTCAGTTGAATTACAGAACTTTCTTTTACGAGTATACCTATACAGATAAACCGCGATCCTTATCATTGAACTCGTGCATTTTCATACACGCAATTCTTTAACTTCCATGTAAAAACAGTTATACATTTTGGAAATGATTATGTCATATTAATTATAATTTATACTGGTATAAGTTATTGTACGAACCGTGGCTACAATATTTTTACTACTTTAAGGAAATATCTCGTGCGGTGGTCGGGAGATGGACTGATGAGACGTGAGATGCGTGCAATCATGAATCGTTCTAAGAAAAAAGAAAAAAATAATTATAAACATTTATATACGACGTCTCACGTACGGTGGAGGTAAAAAAAAAAAAATAATGAGAAAAAAGTTCACGTTATGATCAGTGCATGATATTATATTTAAGCATAGACACATATTTAATTACGTGCGCGTCGTATGATAAAAGAAATTCTCAAACATTCGAGTACATCTGAACGGATTAAAAATTAGTCGCGTTCGAAAACCGGTATAATCATCAAATAGTATTTTTCGATATCAACGAAGATCTCAAAGAACAGACAAACATTTTCAAACGGATATTGTCTTCCGACCAAATTATACATCGATATCCGAAGACGCAGCAGATTTTCGAGCGAAATCCCGAGGCATATACTCCGGTAAACAGTGGTATCCATCGTCACGGGTTTTGTTGCGGCGTCAGGGGGGTGTAAAGCATCGACGGCTAAGGGCTTGGAATTCGTTGACGGCTTAAAACGTTACGTCGAAAACGTGCGGTCACATCGAACGACGATTCAAACCGAAAAACTACTTAAACGTGTAATCTCAAAACGTATTAATCACACACACACACACACACTCGTCGTTAACCCTCGCCGAAAACCGAGATTATTCGTAACGAATCGTACACCGATAAGATTTTTTTTTCACCCCGGAGAGGCGGCCGATCGGTGCAGTCGCACCCCGGCTCACCGGGACCCGAGGTCGTCCGCGGCAGCCGCCGTCGAGGGGTTCCCGCAGTCGCACGCGTTACGGTGGTAAACAGTTTTTTTTTTTTTATCATTTCTTATTGTTACCGGTACGAGACGGGCGACGCGATTTTTCTAGCCTAACGCACGGTGAAAGTAAAACCGTATCCACTGGCGGCGGGCCGCGTGTACGCTCGGCGGCGGCCGGGCGCGTGTGTGCGCGCAGTCCGCGCGTGAAGGCACCCGTCAGTCGCGCGCCGGACAATCGTCATACACGATATCCACACGGAACACGCGCCGAACACACGCGGCCACTTATCATCGATCCGCAACCGTGCGTTATCGCGCGCCGATAAACCGAATCGTATATGATATCGTTTTTTTTTTTTTTTTTTTTTTTAAACACCGCCATTACCCGAACCCGCCGGTGGTTTTTCGCTCGTTCTGTGATATTATTTTGTTTTTCTCGTTCTGCCGGTCGTAATCGTTGTTTCGTTCGTTCGTTCTCGACCGCCGACCGTACGACCGTCGTTGCCCGCGAGGATTTTTTCGTTGGTTTTTTTTTTTTTTTTCCTTTCCTTTCTTCGTCTCGCGTTCGTCTCCCGTGCCCTACTCGTACAACCGCTGTCGTCTCCGGTCGTCTCTCGATTTTCCGCCCGGTCTTGCGCCGTTATTATGCACGCGTCGGGCAACCGCCGCCACTGAATCTCGTTGACTGACGACGACGACGACGACGACGACGACGACGACCGCGACCGCGACCGCTACCGCAGCTGCGACTGCGACGCCGACCTCTGCGATGAACGCGATCAAAACGACGACGACACGGCCACCGCGGTCGCTGCTTCTGTTGCTGGTGCCGCTGCTGTTGGCCGCCGTGCCGACCGCGTCCGGTTACAGGGCGGTGCGCACTTCCGGCCCTCTGCCGGTGACCGTGCATGTCCGGGCCGGTGGCGTGGTCGCTGGTGGCCCGGCCGCCAACAGGACTACCGGCGGTGCAGTGGTCTTCCCGGCGTCCGTGCAGGCGTCGCCGACCCCTGCGGCGGTCCCGACCTCCGCCGCCAACGCCGCTGCAGCCGCGGCCGCTGGGTTCACGTCGTTCTCGACCAGCAGCTCGGCATCCAACCACACCGCGGCCCGAAACCAGACGAGATCCGAACGACTCAGAGCCAGGTGAGTCAGACATTACGTGCGACAATATCATGTGTACCGGACGTAACCGCGTCCAGTGACGGACGACCGGCGGCCAAACGTCTAGCATTTATTTTACAACGGAACGCATACGACCATAGGCCCCTTGTACCCGATAGTTTCCATCTGACACATTTTTGTTTCAATTAGAATTCGTGATTAGAGTAAAAAATAAAAAAAATGTATAAATAAATAAATCGGTCTGTACCGTACTGATACTCATATATTTTATTTATATATTTACTATGAAGCATATACTTTTACTTAGTGTCATGTGTAGTAATTAAAAAAAAAAAAAAGCACAGGTGCAGATTTTTGAAAAGCCATAACCATATTATTTAAATGCAGTTTGTTTTTACAAGAAAAGAGATTTATAATTATAATTCTTTACCTAAAAAAAATTAATTGAAATTTGTATTATATTATATTTTAATACTGCAATCTTCATAGTAATTGAACAAAAATTCATTTTGGAAAGATAAGAAATCGGGTAAATATCAGAAATAAATGTTTGACTCATTGGATGTTTCGCTTGTTTCCATTGTCCGTCACTAATTGCGTTACCGCAATCATATGTTTAAGTATACGCGTAGATCTTCTAGTTATGTTCAAATTATTTTTACTGGTTCTATAATATGAACTATACGATATTTGATAAAAAATATTTAACTTTTATTAATTTTACAGTTTTTTTTTTTTAAGTTGCATACATTTATTAGCTGACTATTTATATTACGCTAATATAATAAATACTCGTATATTTAATAAGATTTGAAATATTGAAAGTATTTTATACAATTAATTTGGTATAGTTTTAATTATTTACCCTAATAACGAATCAAAAAAGTCTATAAACGTTGATTTTAGAATTAAGTAAAGGATAAGTAAAACAAAAATTATTGAATTAAGTAGGCACATGAGTGATATAAAAATAAAATAATTAATGCTTTTTGTTATATTATATTTAATTAATTTAATGCGAAAATAGTAAATACTATAATTTAAAATTTTGTTTTTTTGAGACTAGAAATGTTTTTGTTGGCAATTTGAAACTGGAGTATATTTATGTTGTTAACGACGGTACATATCGCTGACGACGAGTTATAAACGGTCCAAACAAATAGCACCTATCTAATAGATCTTTAAAAGTGATTTAGGATAGGTCAGGTATATTTAAAACGTACTCTGCTGTATTCGTGTAGTCAGGCACAGAGGAGAGAGGGTTTCAAAGCGTTAAGTTCTTGATCAGACTTTGCCGGAAGTAAAGAAGAAAAAAATAGTAGTTTCTTTGACCAATGAAAAAAATTCGACATACAATATAACAATATATTATATGAGATGAAATTCCATTACACATACTTTTCTTTATGGGCATTATAGTTACGAACATTATAACGAAGTATATGCTTTCGAACGCGTCAACATTTTAATGCGGTACAATAGAAAAAATATACTATGAATAATGTATTTACTTGGTATGATTTTGTTCTAAAACTTTCAGTACAACTATGTTCAAGTCTATCCTATTTTTACTAAAAATGTTATTAGATTAAAAATAAAATATCAATGAAAAATACTATATAAATATATATTAAGCATATAGTTAGTATTATATTTTTAAAATATGTGTTCAAAAATGAACGAATTGATAAACATGTTTAAATTTAATTGAAAACATGTATTTATATCATGAATAAATATATATTATAAACATTTTTAGGTATTGTTTTTAATATATTTTACATATCAATATAACTGATTTAATGTTTTGATAGTTTAAAACGTATTTTTTTTATACAATATAAATATTTAAATACTTAAATGATTCTAAAAGAATCGGGCATCGTTCTTATTAGTTTTAAGTTTGTATTTTTAATCCATCAAAGTACCCATTATTAACATGTAAGAGTTTTCCAAAAGAAACAATTACTAATGTTCAAATTTCAAATAAAAGAACTATATGTCACATGATTTTTTTTTATTTTATGCATTTAAAGATTCTACGAAATAATATGAGTTAAAATTTTTTTAGTCTTTTATACGGTTTTATTTGAAACAATTTAAAAAAAAAAATATTTTCAATAATATACGAGTATTTTCTAAAATTTCGTTAAACATTATATTAAGTAGTCATAATGTAAATATATAATACAAAAACTAAAATCTAAAACCGGGATTAGTATTATCATCGCTCATACAGCAGTTAATATAATGGTATTTTTTAATAAATATAATCGACAAGAAATCCCGACAGATGTGTGCAAACGGTAGTTTAGTGAACCGATGGAGAGAGGCATATGCGTCGTACGCAGCACGAAGTTTAGAAGTGAAAATTAATTTAGAAAAAATACATATTGATCGTACTATGTGAATACACGATACAAATACGGTGGCGTAATCCCTTAATTCGAACGGTTTTCGTCATGAGGCGAACACGACTACGGATCATTGTTGGGGCGTGCGTACATCACTGCAATGTGGTGCCGAGAAAATGTAAATAACATCCGATGCAATCCATATTGTAACGCATAATGAATCGTTAGTGAAGCCCAAGGTGTCAGATGCTGCTGTTGCAGCACCATATGGTTACACGTTCCGCGTGCCGTCGGGTAATGAGCAAACGACCGTTTTGGAACCTCCTAACCAAAGACGTAGGACATTCGTCTCCGGCGCGAAAACCGTGATTTTTTCACCTTGGACATAATTAATAAATATTTCTAACGCCTGGGGAGTAATATGTTTGTCTTTTTTTTTTAACTTTCAATCCATCTGAACACATAAATAAATATGTTTAAATATACAACCGTTCGGGTCGCCACTATACGTTATAACTCAATAAATTGATTTATTTTATATAAAAACATCGATTTCTCTCGTATATTTAATTCATCTGACATTGATCTTTCGGATGGGGAAATATTCGCATATATTTGGTAGGCACACGTGATTGAAGTATGAAAAAAAAATAATACTTGATCAACTTTAAATCCGTTTAAAGATTTATAGCGAGCGAGCATTCGAGTATCATCAGCAACTATATAATCTATATACACGTATTATACCGTTGTGTGTTATGAAACTGTGTGTAAATACAGTGGTGCGGTTATGTAGGAACTATTAATAATTTGTCAAACTCGGTGTATATCTACGTTTATGATTTCGAAAATCTGTTTCAAAAACACTTTTGGAAATTATATATTTATATATATATATTTAACCTTTCACTATTAGCTTGTTGATTATTGTTCCCTTCTAGTTTTAAATGCCACCTGTGTTAATTAAAGTACGCCCACAGGGCATGAAACATTTCCTTAATTATCTGACGTTGACTGAACTTTTAAACAACAGTTTTATTCATTTTAGTTATCTGCGAGCAAATGTATAAGAAAAAATCATTATTAGAATAGCGAAATAATAAAAATCCAATGAAGTGTTTTTAAGGCGTATTTTTTATGACTAACTAAAAACTCAATATCTTATAGGTATATATGTAGTCGTGTACAATTATAATAATGTATCTTAGTTAAAGTTTGCTATTTGCGTGTTAGATGTTCTCTTGTAAATTTTGATTTACATTCGTAAAATATTCATACGGTACGTATTTATAAGTCATGGTTTATTATTATTTTTTTTTTAAATGTAGGTTATAATAATTATTTATTCGAGCTTATGTTGTGCACAGAAAAAGTATTGGTTGTATATGTAATTAAACTATTGACCTTCCTATAATGCGTAGTGAGTATAATCTACCGACACGTCAGTTAGATTATGTCATACACGGTGTGTAAAATATTAATATCTCGTTATCCGAGTATAATTAATGCATCTTTGGATCGTATTGTGTATATTATATCGATCGACTGACATTAATAGTTATTAAATCAGATATTTCAGTTCTATTTTTTTAACAAATGAACCTTATGTACCTTTGGAGATACTTGGTTTTGAATAACTATGTGAGAATATTAAACGTATTAATATTTGTGTGTAGTATTATAATTCAACGCGATATAATTCAAACATCCTAAAATTTGAAGAAAAAAAAATGTATTCATTGTAATAAATAAATATGTGCAAATTAAGTTCTTAATGATACAAATTTAATAAATTATGTTTTGTTTTGAAACTTTTAGCTGCTGGAGCATTAGTCATTTTTCCAAAAAACAAAAAAAAATGTTTTAGACATATATATCTAACCTCTATCCACGACCAGTTTAACCGGTTGCCCATAGTATTATATGCTGAATGAGAAAATGGTAAAACAAGATGATACACATGTAATACGTACATTTTAATTTTGTTTTTATTACATTAGCCCGATTGTTGGTGAAAGCCAAGTGATAAATTAGAACTAAATGCCGATTTCTAGATTAACTGGGCCTCTTCAAAAATATTAATTTCGTAATAAATAAAAACAAATCAATATATGTAATATCCTACACAAATCATTGCGTTTGTATACAGATTATTTATCGTACTCAAATATTTTTCTCCGCTCTCGCCTTTAAATTATAGCGAATAGTTTGTATATCAGTCGGTCGTTTTATAATAAATTAAAAACTGTGACAAAATAAATTAAATTTTTTACTTAAGCTTTCTAAAGAGTGAACAAAAAAAAAAAAAAAAAAATGTACTAGCAAATATATTTTATTGAATCAGGCCGATACGTGTACATGTTCCGATGGGATTTTTTCCTCCGGATTGTTTAACCGTTCGGAAAGTTGATGCGCTGAGTGTTTTGTACGACGTTATTCGAAAGCGATTGATTTTCCACAGGGCTCGAGGTGGACCAGGAAACACAAGGGACGAGAAAAAAGGTATTACGTCGTTATAATAACATTAATGTTGGTCGTCGAATGCTCGGGATCTTCGCGATTGAATACAGTGCGCGGTGCACTTGTAACGCGACACGGCGGTGGCGACGGCGGCATCGCTGTTGGCGTCTACCTGTCTGTCCAGTTTTTGCAACAAAACACATGCTC